TGAGATTCCTATAGCTTTTAGCTTGTTAATTAGAAAAATTTAATATTTGAATGAAAGTTTTAAATTATCACGGTTAATAGGGGGAAAAACTAAAATTCCTTGTTAGGATATAGGCAAACAGAATGGCCTTCTATATCCTGCAAAAACGCTTTTTGGCACTTTGATTGATCATGTAATAGCTATAGTCCAGTCGGCATTTGGTTAAGTTTTAGAAAATCTATATCAATTACTAGTGTGTCACTTAAAGATTGTTCTGCCTTTGGCTGATTGCGTAATGTCCCCACAGCACTAAAGGCGGCACAGTGCTCTTAGTGAATAAGTTGGTGTTGCCTCCTGCTGGGTTGATTCAGGACGTGTGACAAGTGCTCACAGAGCCAGGTGCCTGCTGCTACTTCACAACATATGAGCCTTTTTCTTTCTACACTGAAGAGTTGCTTCTATTTTTAATGTGGTTTATTTGTGGCTCAGAAATAGTTGCTGTGATGAAAATATTCATTTGTTAGAAAAGAAGCTAGCTACAATGTCGTTTTGAAAGGACCATGAGCTGTAAAGAAGCCATAAGAAGTGGTTTCATTTACGTGTCAGGGGTAGCTCTTGATTATGTTAACGTTGTTTTAAGATAAAGTGACGTTTTTCCTGCTTTTAGGGTTAAAAACAGAGAGATTTTATATTTTTATCACTATAGATCACAGTTGCAGTGTAGTGAGTTATGCATGCTGACCCAATGTGTAGTGAAACCAAAATAATAAGTTAGTAAGAAAAGCAATAATTTTCTAAAGCTGTGATATGGGTAATACAGAGTTGCTACTCAAAGTCTAATAAACCTCTTAACTCATATTGTGAATTATAGAACACTACTTTTTATAAAGCCATATTTTTTTAGGGAAACTTAGGCGTGACATAGAACTGATAAATGAGTAAAATAGATTTTACTGGATTTTTGTATATAATCATCTCTAGAACTCTGGAAATTGAGGATTCATGATGCTGTGGTCAACTTCAAATACTTTTTAATTCCAAATATCTGACTTAATGAGCCTTGTCTTTACAAATCTGTGCCAAGCTGGGCAACATGAGTGGATTTTCTAAAAATAATGTTAAATGTCTTCTGTTTAATGTTACTTGAGTGCAATAAAATGCAGAATTCTTCTCTATATTGTCATTATTTTGAAGTATATATTTTTTGTTATATAAAAAAATCAGTTCACTTTATACTTACTAGTATTTTAGAATATTATGGCGTTTTTGATGACTAAAATCACAAAGGAGTACCTTCAATGCCTTTCTTCACCTATTTCTAATAGGTAATGTTTATTTATTTTGTTTAACATTTACTAGTATGCTACATTTCTGAGGGCAGGATTAAAATGAAATAGCCCCTGCATCCATCCTTTGTAGGTTTTGGTCCAGCACCTAGAAGCTTTGATAATTCCCTGGTGAGGCCTCCCCTACTCCGCCATACCCTTCTGATCCTCCAAGACCGTCGTGCTGGGAGGATTGTAACTTCATCCTGCTTGAGATGACTAAAGAGTCCGAGTGGGTGGAAGGGCAGAAAAGGGTACAGAAGGTTCTCTTTCTTCCGATCTTCATTCTCTGGACAGACAAGGAGAGCTAGACAGGTAGGGAAGAAGCTTCTGGGGTTCTAGAAAGTGTTGTTTTCTCCTCCAACATGCCCAGAAGAAACAATATGACACAGACTTTAAGGGTAAGTCGACCCACTTTCACTGACTACACTTCCTCTTCTAAGTGCTCCGTGTGTGTTAGGGAGATGAGTTTTCCCAGCAGATGGGCATTATTCCTGCTTGCAGATGAGGAAACTGAGGGTCAGAGAGATTGAAACACCTGCTGGCCTGAGGTCATTCATGGTATTCTAGAATGAGCACATGGGCACCAGGTGTAAACAATTGGAGGGAGGCCGAAGAGCAGGCGGGAGAGCAGTTAGGAAATTAGCTAGTAATAGTCCAGGTGATGGTGAGAGGGCCTGACTTCAGGAAGTGCTAGGAGAGAGAGAGACAGGAAAGATGGGACTCCAAGACTGGGTAGTGTGGGCGGTCAGGGAGCCCAGGACTGGGTTTTGGGGAGTAAACAGATGCTGGTAAAATGAGGGACTCAGAAGGACAGATGGGCCTGGATGGAAATTAGCTTTGGACGTGCAGTGGATCCAACAAGAACTGCCGAGTAGGCGGATTAGCACAGTAGCGGGAACGTAATGGAGTTCAGGATATTTGAATCCACAAGTGATTTTTTTTAATGGTGCTATGACAATTTTTAAAAGTTTAAGATCCCATTCTTTTTAGTAAAGTTTTCCTTATTCTGATAAAATAATGTTGAAAGGGAAAAAATGTAATGTTATTACAGTTAGAGAATGTGTAACAGCTTTCCTTCTTGGGATAGGTGTTTAAACACTAAATATGAGTGACAAGTGAGCTTGCACTTTTGTAATTTTCAGGGTTGGGCTGAGCATATAGCTCCCTTTAATTGATGAAGTGCTCGTTATTGGAATATACAGAGTATGATTAAAGTAGTATTGTTATAGAGTATGGCCTCCTAAATCAGTCTTGTGTGTTCTGTAACCCTCGGCAAGATTCCGTAGCCTCTCTAAGCCTTAGTTTCCTTATCTGTAAAATTAAAACCACCTCCCAGGGTTGATAGAGTTAAATGGGATAATCTGCGTTAAGTGCTTAGAGGAATAAGGCATTTTCCCCCCTGACGCATCGAGGTCCATATGAGGTCTCCCAGGGAAGCATGTGTGCAGAGAGTAAAGTAAAGCGAAGTAACACTTGGTTATTAGCTGTGCAGAATGCTAGTGAGCTAGAGCTCTTAGAAAACTCCTTTACTTAAGCTAAATTTAAGCACTGAAAACCAGAGAAGCTAAAATGCCTGTTGTGTGTTTTCCCATACCCAAACAGGAGTCTCAGATCTCAGCATGTCCCTGTGAGGTGAGGGACAGAGGGGACACTAGAGACAGTCTTTGCCCCAGGGCTGGGAATCATTGGCCTCGCGATTGCATCCTAGGTCCTGCACTGGAGGAGGACAAAAGAGGATGGCTGTTGTTCCTGGGAGTGTGCCTGGCCAGGGCCCTCCCACGCCTTTTAAAATGTGACCAATTCAAACCACTCCTCCTTTCCTATGTCCCCCCCAGGGGCGGGAAGATCTGTGGAGAGCCCTAAACTCTTCTTCATGATCCGCATCCGCCTGTTTTCTCTAGTCAGGATAGAAACTTGCATTTTGTGCTTGATTTTTCAAATGACACTAACGTGGGCCAGGTAAAGGGTTAACTGGAGGATGTGGAGTCTCACAGCCTGCCTGCAGGCATTACTGACACTGCTAGAAAGAGAGCTCCTTGAGATTTTTGACGATTTTCTTCAATCCTCTGTCCTTGATGCCTATGACAGTACATTCTATTAAATAATGCACTGCCTAACTTTATGACAAGGAGATTATAGTTAATAAGATCAGGAATTCTAAAACATTCAACAGAGATCTAGAAGTATATATATATATATACGTATATATATATATATATCTCCTACATATCTCCTGCAGTGCTGGCCAGAAAGTGTATGGCAGTCAACTGTGTAAAACCTACACTTTGCAAAAGTGAAGAGCTGCACTTCTCTATTCTTTCTGTTTCAAGAAAGGAAGCGAATGGCACAGTGGAAAGATCATATGCTCTGGAAGGATGTAAACTGCTGACCTTGATAACTTTGGGCACCCTACTTTCTCAGCCTCAGCTTCCTCCTCTGCACAAGAGGAAGACAGACCTTCCCCATAGGGTGTCAGAGACGGGAGACGTGTGTGACGTGCTCAGCACTAAGCCTGGCACACTGTAGCTTCGAAGTTAATTCCCTTCCTCTCCCCTGGGGTCTCAAAGGAGAAAAATACTCGACCTATCAAAATTCCTTCCTTGCATCAGAAGTCTCCCTCAGATTTACTCTCACCCCCAAAAAGTGAAATGTTTTATATGAATGAATGTGGGAAACTGGGACCAACAAATCAAGTGATCCGTGATTGCATCCCTGATCCCTCCCTGCACTGCACCCACACACTCTCACGTCTACTGTGGGAAAAGGACGGAGTCTGTGATTTTCATCAGTCTCCCAAACTCTGCCCCATCCCCATGCCAACACATATGTGTACACACATGTTCCTGGAAATACCCAAGGACTAGATAAGTACCTACTGGGACTATAATCGACTGGTCTACCTTGAAAAGTAGCTAGATCCTAATCTATATTAAATAATAGGCCAGATATGAGGTTATAAATGCAGAGGTTATAAACACATGGTCAGGTCAGATGCTGCTGTTTTGCCTGTGGGGGTGGATGTTCTTTGGCTGGTCCAGGATCTTGGTGGGTTTCACTGTGCTCTGTAGCCCCATTTGTGGAAGAGACACTATGATTCACTTAATGAGAGGCTGACACAGGTGGGCTCTCGGGTTCATCTTGATTCTTCAGCAAGTGAGCTGTAGGACACCTGGGCTCAGTGCAGGCATTCCCCCCTGCCCCATAGGTCAGCTGTGTATGTGTGAGGTCCTTAGAGGAGGGAGACTAATGTTCTCAGTAGTGTGACGTCATTCTTTTAAAGCACACAGTGCCTATTATAAAGTAGTCTTATGCTTTTAGGGAACAATAAAAATATCGAATAAGCTTTGATGAGGCCTTCTCCCTACCCCAGTTTCCCTTTGGATCCATAGAGCACTTGGAGTTGATGGAGACGACCCATGCCAGCTCTCTTATAGACGAGGAATGCTTAGTCTGGCACCTGATGCCTAGTTACTGCTTAGTGACTTTTACAAGTAATTCAAATGAGTATATTCTTAATATTTTATAACAAATTTCATGTGTGAAGAATTCAGGATTTAGGAAAATTGAATTGTTGGCCCAGAAATATTTTTCTTAAATTATATTTATTTGAATTCATTTAAATATAGTCCTGTATTTTGAGATATTGAGTGGTGACTTGCACAGTATTTATTTTGTTTTGTCTTTCCTTTTCAGAAACAAATAGAAAAACAGATGATCCAGAGCAAAAAGGAAAAGGTGAGATCATCAAATAAACAGCCTTTCAAATGTACATATGAAAAAGTCGTCATACCATCCATGAATAACATGATGGTTTTATTTTATATCACTAGGTAAAATAAATTGCTACTGGATTTATTATTTCAAGGACTTTATCAACCAACATTTATTAATATTCTACATAACCATTAAGATCTAAGGCTCTGGAGAGAGAGTGCCTGACTTCTAATCCTAGTTTTGCCATTCCTTATATGTGTGTCCTGGAGAATTACTTAACCTCTGTGCCTCAGTTTCCTATTAATATTAATAATAATAATAATATTAGTACCAACTTCAGAAACCATAAGACTATAGATTCCACAATAGTAGTTAAGTGAAAATATATGTAAAGTGCATAAAGCTGTGTTGAGCACAGGGCAAGCACTTAGGAAATGTTAAATATTCTTTATTGTCACCTGTGTTGACAACTGTGCTAGGTATAGGGATCCAAAGATTACTGGAACATGGTGTCTTTTTTCAAGGAACTCTGAATCGTTGGGAAGAAACAAAGTTACGTCCATATAGAAAGGATCATCTCTGCCTTCCAAGAGTTTGTTACCAAGGCATTCTAATCAATTTAATAACCCAGTAGAATTTTAGTTCAACTGTCACAAAGCTTCCTAAACTTAGAGTGAGGAGCTGTTTTTAAGTTAAGAAATCATATGGATGATCATAGAGTAGTGATTATACTTTTAGTACCAATTGAGTGATAAAATCTTCAATGATTAAACATTATTACAGTTTCAGGAATGCCTTTAATGTGTGGTGATGAAAACAGTGTCTACATTGAAAAGATACAGTACACAGAAGGTACAAGATCTTTCTCAGGATGGAAATAATAACTTGAGCATGGGGACCTGCTGGCCGCTGCTGCAATTTCGTAGCCCTTAGGCTGGGAACTAGACATCTAGCTCATGCACTTTTTTTTCTGACTTGTTTTTAATTTTTTATCGAAGTAATATAGAGATATGGGTTTTTCTTTTTTAATAATTTTTTTTTCCCCCAAAAGCCCTAGATAGGTATGTCATAGTTGCACATCCTTCTAGTTGCTGTATGTGGGACGCGGCCTCAGCATGGCCAGAGAAGCCGTGCGTCGGTGCGCGCCTGAGATCCGAACCCGGGCCGCCAGTAGCGGAGCGCGCGCACTCAACCACTAAGGCATGGGGCTGACCCTATAGAGATATAGTTTTAAAAGTTGTGACTTACAAAGAAAAACAGTAGTCTTTTATCCTCCTTCTCCCCATCCATGAGTCCCTTTCCCAACTTTCTTTTAGCTGTTTCTTCTAGTACTTACCTACACATTTCTAAATAACTTAATTCTGCAAGTTTCTCCTCAATATTGGAAACTGTCGGTTGACTTTTATGTATAGATGACTGGGGTTTCACTCAGTCATCAGACTCACTCAAGCTCTCCATGCTGCCCTACCTCCTCAACCTTCAAGTACATTCCTGACATACTCTGTTAGATAATGATAAGGACCAAGGAGAAAAAACAGCAGAGGGGAGGATGTCAGCAGCTTTTGATGAAACGAATCGCTTCTCTCCTCCAAGACACTTCCGCCACTTGGCCTGCTGGATACCACGTTCTCTTGGTTTTTCTCCTGCTCTTTGTTGTTTGTTTTTTCTCAGCCTCTCTGGTGAATGGTCCTCATCTCCCTGACCATCACACAGTGGAGAGCCAGACCTACGACTCAGTCCTCAGAGCTTTTCTCTCTCCACACACACTCCCTTGGTCTTGTCTAATCTCATGGCTTTAAATCTCTCTATGATATTACTACATCTACCTGCAGCCTGGGTCTCTTCCCTGAACTCCAGACTGGGACGGCCAGCTGTCTACCTGATGACCTTAATTGGGTGTCTAATAATCACTTCAAGTTTAACAGATGTAAAACTGAACTCCCAACCCTCCCCCCTCGAAACCCACTCCTCCCGTGAATCTTCTCTTTCATGCCTCCCTGTCATTCCGTCAGCAAATCCTGTCAGTCCTCTCTTTAGAACACATCCAGAATTTGACTACTTCCTGCCACCTTCACCCACTACCACCCAGGTCCCAGCCACCACCGTCTCTTGCCTGGGTTATTCCAGTTGCCACCTAACTCGTCTTCCTCCTTCCACCTTTGTCTCTCTGATCTTTTTCATTACAGCAGCCACAGTGACCCTTTTAAAACCTAAGTCATATCATGTTGCTCAGGTGCCTCCAGCGTCTTCATATCTTCCTGCAAGTAAAGCATTAAGTCCTTTGCAGTGGTTTGCAAGGCTTCACACCGTCTGTTCTCCCTTCTCCCTCTTCTGTGGGTTTCTTTCCCAACCTCATGCCCTATGACTCTCTCTCGCCTTTCCTCACTCTCCTGCAGCTACGCTGGCTCCCCTGCCAAGCACAAGACTCAGGGCCTTTGCACTGGTCATTCCTTCCTGGCTGAAGGTTCTCCCCCACAAGTCCACATGGCTTGTTCCTTTAGTCTTTGCTCAACTTTACCCTCCTAGTGAGCCTCCCTACCCATCTGCATAGCACTTATCACTATGTGATTATATTTGATAGTTTAATTCTTTATGTTTATTGTCTGAACCTCTTACTGGAATCATGTTTCCATGAGGACACATTTTTGTCTCTGGCTCACTGCTGCATTTCCTGTGCCTGGAACATAGTAGGTACTCAGTAAGTTTTGCTGAATGAATCTCTATTATTTTTTAATTACTAAGCATTAATATGAACAGACATTAAAGGCTCTATAAGACCCAAAGTGTAGCAATAAGACCCAGATCCAGATAGAACTCCTAGGATGGAAGGCTTGGGGGACCAAAAACCATGGGAAATCTATGGGAGACCCAAAACTTTGGGGACCCTGGGGTAAAAAGACTCTGCTGTTGTCATCCCTAAAGAAACCAGATGGTTATGTGGTCTCCTCTGTGACTTAATGTGTCTCAACTCAGTGGACACGTAGAATCGTCATACCCACACTATTTGGAACACAACTAACAAGGAGGAGAAAACCTTTATTTAAAAACATTTTAATCTTCAGTTTCTTTGTCCAGAAATGAGGATAATGATTTGTATGCCTTACAGGGTGTATTTCATAGCAGAAGGATAAAATGAAAATAGTATCTGTAAATAATAAATGCACTCTGCTACTATTATTATTATCCAAACTTCAGTCTACTACTATTATTATCGAAATATCTGGATTTCATGTTGCTTTTGATTAGCAATTGAATTGGTTGATTTGGAAATCTAATGTAGATGGGCCAATTTTTAATTTTGTTAAAGCAAGACTTTTAAAAGATCCACGTGTACTATCATAATCAGTTGTAAAAGCAAAGGTATTTTTAGCCCAAAAGTAAGACATGCATAATTTAAGAATAAAGGACCGTTTTTTAAATTGAATAAATTTAGATTTACAAAAAACTCACTAAAGTGATCCACATCACTCAGTTTGCCTGGGACTAGTGAACATTTCATGACGTGGCTTCAAGGCAAAGACCACGAGGCTGCTCTTTGGGACCAAATTTACCCAGTTGTCCCTCTGCCATCCCAGATACCAGCCTAGAGTGTAACAGAGAAGGGAGATAAATTCTCTTTGTCTTTTATTCTTGTTTTCGTGTCCTACATTGGTTAGGGAAATAAACGCTTCTAAGGAAAATTCTGCTTTTTCTTAATAGCCCCCTATTTTTACCCTCCTCCCCATCTTGTCTCCAAGAGGTGAGTTATAGTTCAAGTTCAAACCTCCCCTACAAATTACCACATTCCCGTTACAATTAAATTCAGTTACATATAATTTTTTAAAACCTCAAATTTCAGTGGCTTAACCAAGATAGGAGTTTATTTCTTAGCCACGTAAATAACCTAGCACCAGGTCACTGGCTCATCGGGGACCCAGCTCCTGTCCTGCCAGTCTGCCATCTTTAGTCTATCACCTCATGTTCCAAAAGGGCTGTTCAAGCGCCAGTCATTGTAGCCACATCCACGTAATAGGAAGGAAGGAGGGAGAAGGAGTAGGCTTCTTAGAAGAACTACATTTAACTGACAGAATTTTGTTCAAGCTGAAATTCAGGGTTCTGGTTCTAAGGAATAAGGGAATATCGACTATTGAGAGGAAGCAGCAATAGCAGTCTCAGGCATGCTGTATTTCATTCCGTCTGTTACCAGGATATACTCTACCATTGTAGTTTAGGAAAATGGCTACTGTTCTGTGCTAAAAAGTTTGATAGATCATCAGAATATGTTTATTAAAAAACTATCAACTTCTCATCATTCACAAAAAAATATACTGATTTATTCATCCACTTAAATATTTGCATGCCTGCTGTGGACACAGGTGAGAGTAAGCAGGCAAGGTTCCTGCTTTCATGGCACTCACATCTCCCCAGAGAGCCCGACAACACACACACACACACACACACACACTCAAACACAAACTGAAACAGTGAGAGAACTCTAAAGGAAACAAAGCAGGAGAGTGTGCTCGAGGGAGACGGGGGGTGAGTAAGGGGAGAAGGTCTCTGAGGAGGTTAGCGATGAGATCAAGGTAGCTGTGTGAGTGCTCAGCTAAGGGCACTCTGAGCAGAGGAACAGTCTGTGCAAAGGTCCTGAGACAGGAGTGAAGGACCTGAGAAGCTGGAGCATCCTGAATAAGCCCCGAGTGTGTGGGATGCAATTGGAAAGAAAGTCAGGGACCAGACCGTGGCAGAGAGTCTGGATATTTTCCTTCATGCAGTGGGATGCCGTACCCAGCCCGTGCAGGTGTCTGCAGATCAGAGCCTTTCTCATTCACACATTCCCTGGTTTGCTTCTGGGAGGTCTGCCTCAGTGTGTTCTTACAAAGGTGGAGACAGGGAGGGTGGAGGGTGGGCGTCGTTTATTGCAGATGGTGAACACATGCAAGCCCTGCCCCCGGACTGGGGACACAGCGTTGTTGTGAGCCATGTTCTGCTCGCTCTCCAGGGGCTCCGTTGCATCCTTAGGGGCCGTGCCTTCCTTTGCACTGCCCTGTGGATCTACTCCACACAGCTTTATCCTCCAGGGGCTCTGATCCTAAAGGGAATTTTCCAGTGAAGTGGGGCTGGGCTCTCGGCGATTTCTTCCCGGAAGCAGTGGAGACAGTCAGGGCAGCAGCTTCGCTTGATGGTTCCTCCCTCTCCATCATGTGGAACTGGCAGTTCCTGTCAGTACCAAACAAAAGGTGTTGTAACTGAAGTCCTTTACTGAGTGTGAAATGCAGGAATGGCCTTAGAATTAAAAGATAAAATGAGTCGCTATTACTACAGATTCATTGAAATTCCCTTTGGGAATTCCAACTGTTTTTCACTCAGATAGATTTATATGATGCTGTTAACTGATAGAGGAGAGGGAAGGGGAAACATTCCATTTTTGGTATATGTGTGAAAAAAGTGAATGTGTTTCAATAGACTTTAATTTCGTGATAATAGAGATGGAGATTTTTTTTTTTAGTGGTAATTACAAATTTGTCTCAGGATGAATTATTAGGTTGCCTAATTTTCTACCTGTATTATCGTCCCTCAAGTATATTGATGAGGAAATACTGATGAGAGTGGGAAGATTTTGTTTTTACTTAGAACTAATAATTATATGATCCCTTTCTTTTAGAGAATCAGATTTAGTTTATTTTGATAGAGTTCATAGGTTTGGGATAGGGCTTATTCCAAATAGGCCCACACTTGGAGATACCAGAGTCTTAAATTGAATCAGATTATTTATATATCTGTTTTAAATAAAATTGCTATATCAGTTTCTCCCCACTGGATGTCATCTTTTCCCACATATTCCGTATTCTACAACCATAAAATGTTAGAGTGAACGACGAAGTAATGCAACGCAAAAATGGCTTGTTAGATATTGACTTCAAACACTTATTCTCATTCATTCATTTATTCAATGCATATTGAGTACCCACTATGTGCCAGGCCTTGTTCTAGGCACTGGGACCAGAACAGTCAATAAAAACAAAGCCCCGGTACTCACCATACTTATATTTGTGTGTGGAGATATGTAATTAGAATATAATAGGCAGAATATAAAAATTAGAATATAATGGGCAGTGATAGGTGTGAAAAGGAATATAAAACAGGGAAAGAGGACAGAGATTGACAGTGGGCAGGGGTGCTGCTCTGTAGATAGGCCTCTGGGGCAGTGACACCTGAAGATGCGAGGGAGTGAGCTGTGCAGCCACCTGGGAGAAGAGAGCCCTGGGGTGGCACAGCCTATTCATAGTCCTTATAGTGAAGTGTGCTGAGTGTGTGAGGGTTAGTGAGCCAGGAGTGAGCTGGTGAGGAGTGTGTGAGGGGAGAGCATTAAGAGTGGCTGAGGGGGCCAGCCCCGTGGCTTAGCGGTTGGGAGCGCGCGCTCCGCTGCTGGCGGCCCGGGTTCGGATCCCGGGCACACACCGACCTACCGCTTCTCCGGCCGTGCTGAGGCTGCGTCCCACGTACAGCAACTAGAAGGATGTGCAGCTATGACATGCAACTGTCTACTGGGGCTTTGGGGGGGAAAAATAAATAAATAAAATCTTTAAAAAAAAAAAAAAAAAAAAGAGTGGCTGAGGTCAGAGGGGTTTCAAGGTCCAAGTCACATAGGGCCACCCCCTGTAAGGGCTTTGTGTATTATCTTGAGATGGGAAGCCACGAGATTCTGAGCAGAAAATTAATATGATCTGCCTTATGGTTTAAAAGGCTCATTCTGGCTCTAGGGGTGCAAGATTTGGAGCAAGGAGACCACTTAGAAGACAATTGCACTCGTCCAGCCAAGCCATGATGATGACTGAGGTTAGGATGTGGGGTAGAGGTGGTGAGTGGTGGTTAGATTCTGCCCGTCTTTATGGGTAAAGTCAGTAGGATGTCCTGATAGATAGAATACAGGGTATGAGAGAGAGGAGCCAAAAATGACACTAAGCTTCTTAAAAAGGTGTGCTTTAACAAATTCATTGAACATCAAGTATGCAATGTGTTACTGATTTAACATATATCAAGTGTCAGTTATTAGTTGAGGATTTGTGAGCCTTTAAAGAAATTTGAGGAGCAACAGAATCTCCGTGCCTGCAAAAAGATGTGCTTGCGTGTGTGTGTGTGTGTGTGTGTGTGTGTGTTTGTGTGTATGTTAGACAGAATTGCATTTGGATCAGGGACTTTTCCTGAAATTTTTCTTTGATTTAGACTAATATTTAATATCCCATTATATTATTCATTATGATTGAGGATATGCTTAAACAGTGTATTTTGTGAATGTCTTTAAGAAGGCATTTAAAGATTCCTGGTTACTGTTAGCATTCTTTTAAAAAGTAATAATCAGTGTCCTAACAAAACACCAGATGGCACTAAAAGACAAGTCACATTTACACTAACAGACATCACATTTGTAGTTCAACTTAAAGAAAAGGCTGAGATGGCTGTGTAATAGCCATTAAATCAGCCTGGTGCAACTAGTACCTCATATGGAGTTTTTTGTGATCATAAGGAAAATAGAAGGCAGGAATCAAGCCTCATTAACAAGTTTTCTTATTATTTTTTTAAAAATATCTCCTATGAAGTTTTTCCTGTGATTCTTACAACCATATGTAACATATCTAAGCAAACTTGTTCTCCATTGCCCTGAGGATGAACATCGAATTCCTTAATACAGCACAGAAAGCATCTCAGGCTCTAGCTCCTACCTCTGGCTTTCCTCTGTTCAGAATGCTCTTCCTTGCCTCCTGGCGTCACGTTCAGCTGGCAAACTCCTAATCCTTAGAAATGAGCTTAGAGCTTATCTCTGCTAGGAAGCCTTCCCTGACTATACCTCCATCTCCTACCCCAGAACAGAAGATGTGCTTCTCCTCTGTGCTCCCAGGACACCCTGTGCTTACAGATTTTTAGCATATATTTTGAGTTTTTCCCTTAATTTTTAGATGAAAAGCTTCTTAAGGGTAGGAACCATGACCCTGCCCCTTATATTAGTCAAAGTTCTCCAGTGAAACAGAACCAATAGAGTGTGTGTGTGTGTGTGTGTGTGTGTGTGTGTAGAAAGAGAAAAAGAGAAGTAGAAGAGAGATAGAGACAGAGACACAGAGAGATTTATTTTAAGGAATTGTCTCAAGTGATTGCAGAAGCTAGCAAGTCCAAAATCTACCGGTTAGGCAGGCAAGCTGGACATCCAGGGAAGAGATGATGTTGCAGCTCGAGGCCAAAGGTAGTTTGGAGGCAGAATTCCCTCTTCCTTGTGAAAGGAGAGGAGGTCTTTTTTTTTTTTTAAGACCTTCAACTGATTGGATGAGGCCTACCCACATTATGGAGGATAATCTCCATACTTTACTCAAAGTCTACTGATTTAAATGTTAATCTCATCTAAAAAACTAATTTCCCAGCAACATCCAGACATGTTTGACCAAATATCTAGGTACCATGGCCTAGCTAAGTGGACACATAAAATTAACTGTCACATTCCTCCAGCAGCACTTAACCATAACATAGTAGGAACTGCATAAATAGTTGTATGAAAAAAATGTGGTTAATCCCTTTCCCTTTACTTGTGTCTTCATCTGATGGTGATAATATGAGATGCAAATGATGGGCAGGAAGAGTTTATAAACAGAAATATCAAAATATGAATGAACTTTAAGTGTCTACAATTTACTGCATTTCAAATTATTTCCATATAGACTCTCATTTAATCCTCACCAAAAAATCTTGTGAATTAAGTATTTTTTAGCCATTATTTCTTCAAGTGTTTTTTTCTTCTTCCTCTCTCCACTATGTCTGGTACTCCAATTACATGTTGGACTTCATGATAATGTCCCACAGGTTTTTGAAAAACTTTGTTCACTTTTTTTCCTTGGGATTGCATAATTCCTCTCGCTCTATCTTCAAGTTCAGTGATTCCTTCTGCCATTTCAGATCTGCCGTTGAACCCATCTAGTAAAATTTTCATTCCAGTTCTTTTCAGCTCTAGATTTCCAATTGCGTCTTTTTTTTTAGTTTCCTATTCACTGTTGAGATTCCATATCTGCTCACTCCTTACTACCATGTTTTTCTTTACTTCTTTGTACTCATTTATAATCATTGATTTGAAGTGTTTTTCTAATAAACGCAATATCTGGGCACACTTGGGGGCAGTTGCTAGTGACTACTTTTTTGTCCTGAATGTGGGTCAGGAGATTCCTGTTATTTGCATGTCTAGTAATTTTTGGTCAAAAGCTGGATTGTATATATAATATGTTGTAGCAACTTTGGAAATTGTTTTGTTTTGTTTTTGAGAATTGTTGGTGTCTAGTAGACGATTAACTTGCCTGGACTGAAACTGAAAAATCTGTCTCCCCTGCAGTGTGAAGTGGTGCTGTCTGCACAGGTTTTTTGGCTTCCAGTGGCTGTTTTTTCAAATCTAGTTCTCTGGAGGGTGGGGATGGAAGTGCCCTGTGCCTGCATAGGTTAGTGGTCCACTGAAGATTTGGGCAGAATTCATACTTTGATTTTGGAGCTTGCTTCTGGGGTTTCTCCTTGCATCTGGGACTCACCATCTAAATTTCCAGTTGCTTTGCTAGCTGCAACTTCTACTGTCCTATACCTCACAGCAGTAGGACTTTTCTGCTACCCAAACAGTGTATGTGTTGAGAAGTGTATTCAGGTAAAACACAACAAACTTGCAGGTTTCACCAGAAGTAGTCCTGTCTTTCAAAGGTAGATTTCTGTAGTAGTTAGCCTCCAAGAAGACCCTCAGTGATTCTTGCCTCCTAGCACTCATGCCTTTGTGGTACTCTCTCCACTGAAGAGGGCTGACCTGTGTGACCAATAGGGCATTGCAGAAATGACAGAGTGTGACTTCCCAGCCTAAGTCATAAAAGATGTTGGAGCTTCTCCCTTGCTCTCCTCTGGATCACTCGCTATGGAGGAAACTAGCTGCCATGTCATGAGAATACATGAGCAGCCCTTTGGATGGGTCTATGTAGCAAGGAACTTGTATAAGATAATAAATGTTTATGGTTGTTGTAAGCTGCCAACTTTGGGGATAGTTTGTTTTGCAGTCATTTATAACTAATCCATCCTCCTTGAGTTTCTGCCTGCTTTTTCACCAGGCTCCCTGGGGCTACCCATGAAGATGGAAAGTTATCAGTCAACCAGGGATTTGGGTAGAGTGTATTCTCAGATTTTGGGTCTCAGCCCTTCTGTGGCTCTCCTGCTTCCAGAATTTCCCCTTTAAATCTCCCTCTGCTCTGCTGCTCTGAATGCTATCATCTATCCCTTTCAGAGGGGAACAACAGAGTGTTCCACTGCCTGACTGGGGCTGGTTGGGGAGTGTCCCCACAGAAGAAAATCACAAACACACCATTCTTACCCAATGCAGAAACAGTCTTTCAAGAATAAACTCCTCTGTTTATAAGTTTCTGCCTGTCTTTGGTCATTTTTCAGTGCCTTCAAATAGTTGTTTTAATGTTTCAGTGATACTTCATTGATTTAATGAAATATAAATATTAACACTCTCTGAAGATTAGAGAAGCTGAATATCTCAAATTTGTAAGCCAGTCTGGATTCCCTTACTGTGATACTGTTCATATCTTATTTTTTTGTGATGCTGTTCATATCTTATTTTTTTATGTTGATTTTCATTGGTTTTGTTTATATTACTGATATTAATCCCTTGTTTGTTTTTATATTGCAAAAATATTTTCTAATTAGTTCTTTATCTATTAACTTCATGGACAGTGCCTTCCAGATACATAATGGTTGGAATAAACGAATTTATGAAAGAATGGTGTTCTCTGGCCTGTTAACAGCACTTTGAACAGGTCCAACGATATCTTCTTGCTTTCATATATTTTTCTATTATAAAATAATAAAGTATGTACAAAAACATTGGACAGATGGTTTTAGCTGGGGAGCTTGGGCAGTGTGAAGCATGGTCCTTCCCTCAAAGAATTCCTTCATTTATCTCATTGAGATAAGAATTGTAGTACATGGCTGTACTTGTACATGCCATCAAGCTTCCATCATGTTGTCTCTGAGGGTCCTTTCCCTTGATGCACATGAGCTCAACCAAGTCATCCCTGCCTTGAACTTAATTACTGCATGATCCATATGGGTAGGTCTTCTGTCTTTAGCTGCCCATTGGAGGTGCTTTGGTTCACTGTCTTGAGCAGTCCCTAAAACACTATATATTCCTTAGGAGTAGTACCAACAGCCCACTTAGATGTAGCACAGGCTGGCCGTTCAATTCAGGCCACACCACTGTGCTTTAGTAATTTCCCCATATTGTAGAAATAGCACACTTAAACCAACTCAGGAAAAAGCTTTGAAAAAACAGTCTCCCTCCCACCCTTGCAGCTGTGAGAAGAGGTTACGAGATAACTGCTGTTCAAGATTTATTATACTCATTACATTCAACAGCTACAGTAGTTTTAGTGGTTCCTAAAATACACCAGCAGTTATTGTCTGATTACTTCTACAGATAAGTTAATTATAGGAGATTTCTGACTCCTATATAAGTCTAATTTAGAGAGAAGTTTAATTACAGCTATTTTAGTGATTTAAATAAGCTTAGCATATATTACCAGTCTCAGCAAGTGTAGGAGTGGTTTTTAGCTGTGTTGAAATACGCATTCGCTGTGTTTTTATTTTTCGTTTCACGATTTTAGCCATACTGTAGTACCAGTGATAATTCAGGACACCTGTTTCCACCAGAGTGCCTCTTCAGTCAAACACACCACAGGACAGTAATAGCAAATTCTTCGTTATCATTAAAATCCCATTCTAATACTTCCCGTTGAGCACTCAACATTTTACAAAGCTAATTTCTATAATGATTGTGACAACATTAGCAGGAAAGAAAAATAGATTTCTTAAGGAAAAAACTTCAGATATTAGTGTATTTTCAAATTATCGTTAGGATCTAAATTTCCTTTTAATTGATGGGAAATGTGACCCTGTCTTCAAATCAGAATAATCCATGTTACTGTGTATTAACACATCGTCTATTTGTATACTGAAGCAAATTAAAGATTAACGTATTAGCCACATATGCCCAAGCCAGCTTAAAGTTAATCTTTCAAAAAATGTGCCATAAGAAGACAGAGCTATCGGTGGTTGAATATATTCATTTGTTTAAACAAGACTTCAAATTGGAGAGTGCATTAGTTTGCAAAATGCATTACTGAAAATTACCTCAGTGAGAGGTCTTCCCCACAGCATTTTTCATTCTTCTGATTAATGATAGGTTGTACTGTCACAGCCGTAATTCTTGCCATATGTTTATATGTTTTTCACTTAAAACTCAAATATATATTGACAAGAAAAGTATTAGTAATAGTGAAAATAAATCCTCTCTATGTTTCAGTTTGGGTGATTTTATTCTGCTCAGGAAGCCTCATCCTTAACACCGTGGAATGTCAGTCATGTTTTTCTCCTTTGCTGGAATGCTCTTTCTTCTTCATCTGTTCAGATCCTAAGGTCCGTTGCTGTTCCCAAGCCTGGTCAGCAGTGACACAGAGTAGGCGGGGAGTAGCTGGAGCTCAAGTATGAGACAGAAAATTAGACACAAGCAGCACATCGTGTCTGGGAGGCCAGGCAGTAGGCAGTAGGCAAATATGTCTCAGAAACGAGGAGAAGCCTCTATCACAGAGGTTCAGGCACACACCACAAGTCAAGCGGGGAGCAGGAGGACATTTGCTGACAGAGACAGGATTTCCTCCTAGAGGAGTGGCATTGGAATTCTCCAGAGGCACTGGCATGCTGCAGAGCCCCATCACGAGCCCTGCCACGGAGCTGGTCCAGGCTGACGGCAGCAGGGCGTGAGGTCGGTGCAGGAACATCAGCAACACTCATGGTTTATCAGCTGCCTTAACGCTTTTAGTTAACCATCCGCTTTCCCCCTCGCCCTCCATCTAGAACATGTGAAGCTAATATATGGATAATTAACTGCTGTTGAAACCAGTGAGGCACCCAAACACAGATTCTTTTTTGGGCCCCAGGGTATGATACAGCATTTCTCAACCCTGCCGGCATGTTAGCATCACTTGTGGGATATTTCAGAAAATGCCCTGGGTCGCACCCCAACCATTCTGATTTCATAGCTCTGGGGCCCAGTAGCTCTAATATGCAGTCCTGGTTGAGAAGTGCTAGGTGAGGTGTCCTGCTTACCAGGGCAATCTAGTCTGTCTACCAGGATCGTCTTAACTAAAAATTTTTCACTGGGTCCACTTGGTTCAGATATCATTCTTTGATATTATTTGAATGCCATTAAAGGGATTCTTTAACGTAATGAACTATAAAGACAACAAAAGGATTAGTTGAGGCAAGCTGAACCTCTGCTATAGAAAGAACGATTGTAAGTGGATGAAACACTTTCTGAAAGAGAAGTCTGAGCCACAAGTGGTGAGCAAGCCCAGCTGCATTGCGGACCTGAGAACAGCTGACCACCTCCGGTCGTGGGCTTGGTAGGCTGCTGGGCTGGGTTTGGGAGGTGTCCGGGTCTGAATATGGCAGCGGACCCTTCTCCTCTTTTGTGGCCCATGTTCCATCTCATCGGTAGACTCTCCTCTCACCTCACACCGGTCCATTCCTTTGCTAAACCTCACAGATTTGAATCAGAACTAAGAGAATACCGTTAAATTCTCAGTTGCCGTCTACACGTGCTCAAACTTCAGGTATTAAAGAATGTGATTTTTATTGATGACATTTTTATAGGTCTAGCTTTTTCTGTTTCTGTTAGTTGTGCTGATGCCAGCAAATGTTGGAAGCAAGGTGAGCCTTTTCCAATGCTGCAGATACGCTGCGTGGGAAGGACGGTGACCAGGAGAGACCCATTTCTGGGCTGACCGGGGCTCAGGCCCTCTCCCCACTGCGCACCTTTGTATCCACCCTCCTGCAGCAGCCAGGGTGGAAACTGTCCTCCTTGGGATTTTTGCTGCTTAACTGTTTACAGGCAACTAATTTAACCCTCATCATGTGTGGGTTACAAAACGTCTGGGGACCTAGGACATATCGTTTATTGAAGATATATTCCTATACGGGATGAAGATGTTTGGGAAAAAATATAAGCCTAATAATAAAAAGCAGATGCATTCCACTCTGTTGGTTCACTTTTTGCCTTTTCCAGCGAGCCTGGCTGTGCCCTGCACACAAGGTGCTCAACATTTAATGGATCGTTGCCGCCTTAGACCCATTCTTGTGTTGCCAGGGAGAACTTGGTTAAAACTCTTATCACTAAAGTAATAAGAAAACATCACTGAGGTTGTTAAAGGCGTCTGTTTCATACATCCTCCAAATTATTCATTACTAGAGATTTTAATCATTTAAGGCAAATATGCCGTAATTTATATTGCAAATTCTAAACTCATTTCAAATATTAAGCACATTTGTCCACTTGGTTATGGCAGAGTCAGAAAACACGGTGATTTTTGCCTTTGGCTTAATTTTTAAGAAGTCAGCATGTGTGGGAGAAGGGAGTAAAGAAGTAATTGCATAGATTCTAACACGTTTTCTTTTCCAGGGGATTCATTGGTGTTGGGTGAAGGTAAACCCTCTTTTACCAGGTCCTGGAACTCCAGCCACCCCTCCGTGTGGTGACCCTTCTTAAAGCATGGATGTGGGAACTGAGTAAAGGGACAACAGCCTCTAGCTAAGAGGATGATTTATTAATTTAACAAACATTTCAGCTTCCTTTGTTTGCCATGCTCTGTGGAGTGCCCTGAAAACAAAGCAAATAAAAAACTACACTTTAAGGAGGTGGAGGTTAGGAGCAAAATGCTGTGGGAGCTCAGAGGAGAGAGGAACTCTCTGCTAGGGAGATGGAAAGCAGCTGAAGTCTTCATGGAGGGGTGATGTTTGAGCTGGTC